CCGGGCTGGCCGGCCTGCGCTGGAGCATGGGCGCCTTCCCGCTCGATCTCATCGTCAGCCGCTGCCGCCTGCCCACGCTCGCCTGCCTCGGACCAGGTACCCAGGGGCCTGGGGAGCGGGCCTGGGGTCCGTGGGGGAAATCCCGGGGCTCTGCTGGTGCTGGCGGCGCCGCGTGGAGGATTCGGTCCTTGCCCTCCCGGCTCCCGAGGGCTGACCCCACGCGGCTCCTTGAGCGCTTCCCCTGGACACCCCGGGCCCACGAGCCCAGGATCCGCCTCCTAGGCCCCACGGACCGGCACAGGACGGAAACCGGGGACAGAGTCCAGGACCGAGTTTTCTGGCCCCTCGGGAGCCCGGAGTGCAGTCGAGCCACCGCGCCCGTCCCGTCGGTGCACCCCTTTCCCCGCTGCCCCTTAGCCCCCGCCCTGGCCGCGCCCCCCTCGTTCCCTTTGTCTGTGGCCTCCCACCTCGTCCTGCCGCATCCCTTGGGCACCTTACTCCGTCTTTCCCCCTCTGGCACTCCCTAGTCCCGTTTGGCCCCTTCTAGGACTCTTTCGGCACCTTCTTCTGGCATCCCGGAGAGCGGCCTCCGGTCCTGCGGACGGACGGGCTACCTTCCGGAGAGGCCCGAGTGAGCGGGCCCTGCCGCCAGACATCCCCCAAGATCCTTCCACTCCCCGACCTCTGGACCCACTTCTTCATAGGACCCAGGGTCCCGGGCTGTTCCGCTGATGGGACCGTACATGGGGGCCTGAGAAGGGACGCCTGGAGGTTGCATGGATCGAGGGGACCGTTTGGGGGAAGAGGGGTTGCTTGGCTGGGGGAGGGGCGGGAGCTGGGGCTGGCTGCCAGGCCGGGGGTTTTGTGTGTGAGAAGAATAGGGGTTTGGCCCGCGTTGGCACACTCGCTTCCCTGAATGCTAATAGGGCTCCTCTGCTCTCCTTTCCGCCGGCCCGGCAGCCCCTCCTCCGACCCACAGCGGCACGGAGTGGGATCAGAGAGCGTCAGCGTGTCCCTGAGCACTCCCTAAGAGAGCACACATGCCGGGGCCGCCTGGTTGTCCCACTCTTGTTCCCGGGATCGGTACTGATGGTCACCCTGTGATCCTGAGACTGTCGGTGTCAGTAGCAAGGCTGTGTATGTCTGCGTGTAAATGGGATATGCTGTTCTGGGTGCTTCCTGGCTACTTCCCACACAACGTCTTGGTCATCTCCCCTGCCTGGGTGCTTTTTCTGAGCTCCTCAGTCTAATAGAGCTGCTTGGGGGCTCTGTTGGCACCTGTCTGGTCTCCTGCTGTGCACCCCATTATAATGGTCAGTTTCTTGTCTTCAGTTGGAAGCTCCTAGAGGGAGGGCATCCTTGCCTAACAAAGGTTGTGGATTAAATGAAAGAATAAGTGAACAATGGTGTGGTGGCCCTGCGGTTTTGTCAGTGTGTGCCTCTGGCTGTGTCCACCATTAGAGTGTGAATGTGATCAGATTGTGTGTCCTAGAAGGTCCCTGTGTGCCTCTGCATTTGGGAGGGACCCCATGGTGGCATCATGAATTTGAGTGATGTTGTTTGGGTGACAAGTACCTGTCTCTGTAGGCTGTTGTGATTGAACTGTTGGTGATCATGACCTATGGCTCTTGGTGTATGTCTGTGTGGCTTTGGCCTGTGTTCCTACGGAAGAATGGGAGGGGCTCAGCAGAGCTCCAGCAAGAGATTGTAGAGTTCAGAGCTTCTTCTGACCCAGGAGGTGAAGAGTTGAGGAGGAAGACTCAGGTGACACCTTCTCTGTAACACACACACACACACACACACACACACACACACACACACACACACACCAGTAGGAACACTGCAAGCCTTGAATACCACTCCCGTCCTCCCACCCCCAACTTAATGGAGGCCACATATTTTATGGAGGCTGAGCCATCAGAGTAAACCATTTCCCGTCTGGCTGACTGGCAGAAATTTAGTAAGTTGTGTCTGAGGGGACTGGGAAGGAGTAGTGCCCCACCCCCACCCCCACCCTGTCCACCAGCTGCAGCCAGGAGATGCCTGCCCATCAGCCTCCTGGAAGCTGGGCTGCCCGTCCTGCTCCCCTGGAAACCGTTGCTGGGGTTGCAGCCTCCTGGGCTCAGGCCCTTTCCAACTCCAATGCCTCAGCCCCAGTGCTGCTTTCCTGGACTGGGCTCCCAACTACTGCCTTTTAAATCTGCCCCCCTCCACCCCCTTATGAAGGGCCAGGAGAGGAAGGACTTCTGTGAGATGGGGTATGGTATCGGGGGCTCTTCCCCTGCCTTTGAAAGGGCTTATAGCCTATGCAGTGGGCTGAAAGGCTGTCCATGAGAAAACCCGGAATCAGCTCCTGTAACACTGCCATTCTCCTGACCTCAATGACCCGTGGCTCTGAGGAAGTTCTCACAGCTGGGACCCACAAGGGACAGTCCCTTCTCAGTCCTCTCTACTCCCCCAACAAGGCCCTCCTTGCCTGCCTGGCACTGGCTTGGGCACCAAGGGACCTACTGGGGTGAATTTGCCTGGTCCTGAGCTTCAGCGCCCATCTCCAGTCCATCTTTATCTCCTTCACTCCACCCCCAGCCCAAGCCACTGTTCTACTCTTTTGAGTCCCCAGACACTCCCTGTTTAGTGCATCAAACTTGCTGTTCTCATGTCCCAGGAGGCCTGAGGGCTCTTGGAGGGCAGAGGCCGGCTGTGCTCATCCTCTGGGAGTCTCCAGCTCCTCTCAGGCCAGGACAGCAAGCACTCCGTGATGAATGAGGGCCTTGGCTGGGCTGGGGGGAGGCCCCATTGGGAGTCAGGGCTCTGAGAGGCTCAAGCCTGACTCACAGCCGAAAAGCCACAGCTGGCATCCACCTGTCCCTTGAGTAGTGCTGACCTGGATGGGGATCAGATCATGGGGAGTTGTCACCAGGCAGAGTCTTGATCTGAGGAGTTCACCCTGCTTGTTTTTCTGCCCCTCCTAACGTTCCCTCTTCCTTTCCCTCCTCCTCTGTCCTTCTTTCTTCTCCCAGGGGAATATGCTGAGGGCGTCAGTGAGCGAGACATCCTGCTCATCCACTCTTGCCGCCAGTGGACAACGGTGACAGCTCATACCCTGGAAGAGGGCCACTATGTCATAGGGCCCAAGATCGACATCCCCCTGCAATACCCAGGTGTGCCCAGCCAGGGACAGATGACATAAAGGCTTTGGGCTGGGGCTTGGGAGAACAGAGGTAGAGGGGAAGCTGTTGGTGATCACCTTTCATTGAAGCTGCAGAGGTGAGCGAGGAAGGACATGGCTGGCAGGGTGGTAGTTAGGGTCAGGGTGGGAGTTAGGGCCAAGTGGTGTCCCTGTTGTCCTGTGGAGTCTTGGGTTCTGGAGAGGTGGCTCTCAGGTTTACAGACCTTTGTTCACATTTTATTTTAGAATAGATTTTTTTTTTTTTTTAGAGAAAGAGAGGAGAGAGAAATAATTTTTTTAGTATTTATTTATTTTTTCAGTTTTCGGTGGACACAACATCTTTATTTTATTTTTATGTGGTGCTGAGGATCGAACCCAGCGCCCCGTGCATGCCAGGCGAGCGCATTACCACTTGAGCCACATCCCCAGCCCTAGAATAGATTTTAAGGTAATGATTAAATCACTACAAATTAAATCTTACCCCTAATTGAAGGCCTTCAGTGTATGCCTTGAGCTGCCTCATTAACCTTTTTTTTGTGTGTGCAGATCCCCATCGAAAAGATCTCCTGCCAGGATCTCAGTATTGTCCAATCACAACCTTCAGAAACCTAGTGATCCCTGTCAGCGTTGATTCTCTTTTCCTAGTTTTTGGGTTAAACTCACTGCTTTCCTTGATTGCCTTTATAAGCAAATGTTAAAGCTTTGAATTAAGGATTATACTTTTATGTCTTTTATTTATGATGGTGATTGTATAAGATTGTTTGCTGTGCACTGTGGCGCACACTGTAAACCTGATAATCTGGGAGACTGAGGCAGGAGGATTTTAGGTTCTAGGCCAGCCTCAGCGACTTAGGAACCTGAACAACTTAGTAAGACCCTATGTCAAAATAAAAAATAAAGAAGGCTAGGGATGTACTTCAGGGATAGAGCAGCCCTGGGTTCAATCCCTAATATTTGGGAGGGGGGCAAAGATTTTGTTTGAAGAAAGGGTTCTGCTGACAGCAACCCTTTCATTCTGCAGATGATGAAATCTAGTACCTAAGGAGGACAGTGACCTGCCCAGGGTCACACAGCAAGTAAGGGAAGGTAAAGGCCAGCAGCGAGGTGTCTTGACTACTGGACTGGTGCTTGCCGCTCAGTGCCAAGAATGCAGGGCTGTTGTCCCTGGTGTGGGAGGAATGAGAGTCTGGTGGTCCAGTCCTAGAGTGTCCCATTTGAGCCAGGGCGTGACAGCTGTTCCAGACCCTGGGTTGATCAGTTATTTCATCCTCACAGCTTGTGAGAAAGGGGCACGTCCCTTAACTTACCCAAGACTGAGACTCCAGATCTTCGGTAGCTAGTCCTGTGTTTTTCACTGCAGTGTGACTTCCCAAAAAAAGCTGAGAACCTTTTGAGCTGGAAAGTCTTGCAGTCCCATTGACAGGTGCTACTACCTCCATCAGCCTCCCTTTGATTTGGGACAGGGCTAAGTAAGCCCTTTTCACAGACTTCAGCTCTTTACAACGCCCCCACTCTCGCATGGCGTTGCTTCTTCAAAACCTCCCCACACTCATGAAAAGGTGAGGAAATTATCCCAGTGGCTTCCTGACTTTGGGTTCTGCCCTGACTGCAGGCTTTGGGGGCCGCCTGGAGCTAGAAATGTCCTAGCCTCAGGATCTGGCAGTAGCTCCGGGAGAGGTATCAGGTCTTGGAATAAAGCAAAGGCTGGGTAAAGCCCTCACTGACAGAAAAGTGACTTCAGCAGGGACTTCTTTCATTTCAGTTGCATGATTAAAACTGGGAAACCAAGGTACAGTCTTCCCGGGAATTATGGGCCCAGGGGACCTCAACCCTGTCATCTGTCTCTTTTGGTGCTCCCTGCAGGCATGAGTAGGGTGGGCGCAATAGGCGACAGCTGGCTTACCGAGGGTGGCCGCCCCAGCCCGGCCTTCCCGCTGGGCCGCTGCGGGGTGGGCGGCCTCGGGTTGACGGGTTGACGAGGAGGCTGAGTGCAGGCCAGGCGCCGAGCCCTCCGGATGAATAAGTAATGGTGCTCCGAGGGCAGGGCGGCCGTGTGCGGACCGCGGAGAGAGCCACGGCCAGGTGGGGGAGGGGAAGGAAGAAGAGGGAGGGCGAGCCGGCGACGCTGCCTGGTGACCCGGGTCTCCACTGCGGCCCTCTGAAGTCGGGAGGACCTGATTTCGCGAGAGAATCCCCGCTGAGGGGCTGCATGTCGTTCCCAGGGGGCGCCCCTTCCCCAGCATTGCCTGAACTTGTGCCCTGCGGAACACTGGGCAGGTGCGCGGGGTGAGCCACGAAGATTGCTTCCATTTTACAGACGGAAAACTGCAGCTGGGGAGATTAGATAATTTGCCTAGGTCCCCCAGCTGGTTGGTGGCCGGCTGATTCTAAAAACGTGCTTCATCCACCGTATTCTTATTTCCCACCTTTCTATCTGCGGTTCTGGGGAATCGAACTCGGTCTTGCGCGCTAGGCGAGCGCTCTGCCACGTAGCTACACCTGGGGGTCTTTGTTGAGCTGGGGTCAGCTGCTGGGGGAAGGGGCGGTGAAAAAAACCTGCTGCAGCCCCCAAAGTGCTTCAGAATGGAAGGGCGGATCAGCGCAGCTCGAATGTGTTCTGGGAAGAACGGGGCAGGGATTAGGGGCAGGGCGAGGGAGGCCAGGGTGGGACAATCCCTAGAGCGGTGGGGCCCCTGCCTCCCTTGTGGGGAGAGGCTGGAGAGGAAGCCTCAGTGGGGAGGAGAAGGCTTCCAAGGGCCGAAGCATCACTCCCAGGAGGTCTCTCTTCCTTCCTCCCACCAGTAATGACCGGGGCTGAGCGGCCGAGGGGGGCGGTGCTGGGTGCCATGGTTACATCGATCTTCCCTGCCACATCCTCCCTAGGCTTCAGTCCAGACTTGGCTCCAAATCTCCCCACAGGGGGCAGCGAGCATTTCTCCCTGCTTGACTGCTTGTGGTTGGGGCAGAGGTTATGTATGGATGGATATGGGGGAGGTGCTACGGATGAAGGGGACTGCTCGCTCACGGGTGGTAAGGTAGCAGAGTTCCTGCTTCCTGACCCCAGCACCCTCTCCCCATTTAATTTCTCTCTCTCTCTCTCTCTCTTTTTTTTTTTTTTTTTTTGTACTGGGGATTGAACTCAGGGGCACTCGACCATTGAGCCACATCCCCAGCCCCAAGCCTTATTTTGTATTTAGAGAAGGTTCTCGCTGAGTTGCTTATCGCCTTGGCTATTGCTGAGGCTGACTTTGAACTTGTGATTCTCCTGCTTCAGCCTCCAGAGCTACTGGGATTACAGGTGTGGGCCACCATGCCCAGCTCCCCCTTTTAATTTCTGTTGCCCTCTGGGGCCTTGGCACTTCTGAAACCTCTTTCTTTAGCATCCCAGGGAGTTAGGGCAGGAATGGGGCTTCCCCTCCCAGCCTGCTCTCAGGAATGTCTCTTACCTTTCCCTTCTCTTTCTTGGCTTCCCTGCTTGCTTTCTCTCCCAGCTTCTTGATGCTGTGCTTCAGGCCCTGGCCTTAGCCCTGGCCCTCTACTCTTCATGGCCTGTGACTGGAATATCTTAGTCTAGGTCTCTGAGTGAACTTTCAGGACTTCAGGACCCTCCTTCAACACATACTGTATACAACATTGTGCGTCCATGTTAGGAGCAGTGTGGGCATTCTTCTAGGATGTGGGTCCCCTGAGGGTCCCTAAGCTACTCTTCCCTGAGCCATCAAACTTGACAGCTGAGGCTGACACCTGTGCACTGGTATTTACTGTTGTTCTGAATAGGTGTCCCCAGGCTCTGGGCCCTCACTGCTGTTCTGGAAGTACCACCTAGAGGCCCCTTCCTCTGGCTTCCAGAAACTGCCCCACAACATGCTCCCTCCAGGTTCCCACTGGGGTCAACCTGGAGGTTGCCATTTCCATTCTCACTTCTAAGCTGAGTATCCTTTGTCCCTTCCTTCATCTCTCCTGTCATTTGAATCTGAGGAGTCTCCCTTCCAAGTATCCCCTGGCCTGTTTTTTTTTGTTGTTGTTGTTGTTTCTTTCTTTTTTGGTTGTTGTTTTTTTCTGTTTTCTGGATCTTTTCCAGAACTTGTTACTGAACTGTTTATCCAACTGGTCTTCTGTTCATCTTAATAGAGTTCACCTGGATCATGGTCTATCCTTGTTCAAAACCTTCCTTATTTCTTACAGAATAAAGTCCTCTTGCCTTAGCACAGCATCCAGAGCCCTTTCAAATACAGTTTCTTTCTACTCTTCCTCCTATCTTCCCTTCAGGCATGCACAATTTGGGGCAGATGACCTGTTTTGTGTCCCTGTCTTGGCTTGTGCTATTTGTCATGTGGAATGCCCATTCTGTAAAATCCCTTTCATCCCCACCTTTTTTTTTTTTTTTGTAATGGGGGTATTAAAGCAGGGGCTCTTCCAATGAGGTGCATCCTCAGTTTTTATTTTTTTTTAATGGATACAGTATCTTTTTATGTCTTTATTTTTATTTATGTGGTGCTGAGGATTGAACCCAATGCCTCACAAGTGTGAGGCAAGGGCTCTACCACTGAGCAGCCCCAGCTCTCCAGTTTTTGGTTTGAAACAGAGTCTTGCTAAATTGCTGAGTCTGACCTCAAGCTTGTAATCCTCCTGTCTCAACCTCCCAAATCATGGGATTACAAAGCCTATGCCACTGTGTCTGGTGCCTTTGATTCTTAAGGTGCAGCTAAGTGATCTCCTCGCCCTCTCTTGGGCAGATTTCTTCCAACACAGCAGTCCTCTAGCTCTTTTGTCATGAGTCTGGTATAACACCTGTCACATCCTGCTGTCATTAAGTACTTATTGGCTCACCCACTGTGTCTGAATTTTTTGGGGGGCAAAGTTACACAGAGTTGTTCCCCTTAAAGAGTCTAGCATGGTGACTGACAAGCCTCAGGGAGGAGGTGAGCAACTAGAGCCCAGCCAGATCCTTGTCTTAGCATCTCCTCCTGTCTTAGCTTCCCCAGCTATTGGGATTACAGGTGTAAACCACCATGCCAGGCAAGGGCTGTGTATTTTGCTGACTCAGCAGATGTGGGTGCACCATTAATGTTTGTGTCATAAATATGTGAGTGAACTGTGACAGAACCAATCACCAGGAGGACTAGAGACACCTTGTCTTCTCTCCATTTGTTGTCCGCTCACCTGTATCAGACTCATTCTATAAAGACTGGAAGAGGCCATGTATCCAATGGCAGGGTGGTTCAAAGTGGTCCTTGTGCTTATGTGGGTGGGCACATAAAAGATGTGTGGCCAGTGACGTGAGATAGTTTTCATGAAGTGTCAGCGTCACAGATTAGCATCACTTCTTTAAAGTCTGTCTGCTAGGGCATCTGCTGAATCAGCAAAATACATAGTCCCTGCCTGGCATGGTGGTGTATACCTGTAATTCCAGCAGCTCGGGAAGCTAAGACAGGAGGAGATGCTAAGACAGGAGGAGATACTAAGACAGGAGAAGATGCTAATACCAGGTTGCTGGCTGGGCTCTGTTTGCTCACCTCCTCCTTTGAGGCTTGAGCTAGATGACCCTCCCCCTAAACCCATGCTAGAGCACACCTCCTCTTCTGCCCACCTGAGTTCCAGAGGGACTGGCTGAGATGAACGTAGCAAGAAGTAGGGGCCTAGGGGGCTCTTAGGATGCAGGCCTCAAGGAGGCAGGCCCCCAGCAATCTGTATCCCCCTGTACAGGGAAGTTCAAGCTCTTGGAGCAGGCCCGGGATGTGCGGGAGCCGGTGAGATACTTCAGCAGCGTGGAGGAGGTGGCCAGTGTCTTCCCTGATCGCATCTTTGTGATGGAAGCCATCACTTTCAGCGTCAAGGTCAGTCCTCCCAGCACTGTGCATGGTGCCCCTCACCATGGCCCCCTCCCTCAGGAACAACCCTGATAGTGCCTTTAGGGTCTAGGAGGGAGAATGGCTTCTGGGAACTCATTGAGGGCTTTTGGCACAATCAGGCCATGTCTGAAGAACAGGGCCTAAGGACTTCTTGGGACAGGTGGTGTAACAGGAGTGGTTTGGGGGAGGGTTATGCCATGACTTGGAGACACTTCAGGAGAGCCTGTCCTGGCACTGCAGCTGCCCTAGCACCCCTGGCATGTGTGGAGTATGGCTGTAGTGGGCACACAGTGCAGAGTCCTAGTCTCTGTGCAGCAAGCTCTTCACTGATAATAAATCCTTTATTTCTTTCTTCTCCTTTTTGGTACTAGGGATTGAACCCAGGAGCGCTTTACCACTGAGCCACATCCCCATCCCTTTTTTATTTTTTTGAGACAGGTTCTCATTAAGTTGCCAAGGGCCTCAAGGACTTTGCTGAGGCTGACTATGAATTTGCTATCCTCCTGCCTCAACCTCCCACCAGCTGGGATTACAGGCATGGACCACTACTACCGGCCAATAAACCCTTTACTTATCCATCAGTTCATTGCTCTTCCCAGCCTTGTTGGATGGGTGGGAAAGATGGCAAAGATGATGTAGTAAGTTTGCTATTTACTGAATGCTTTCCCTGTACTTAAAGTCTGTTCAATCCCACAGCAACTCTTAGAAGTGAGAGTTATCACATGAG